GGTCAGAGTCACTGCCAAGGTTTGGGGGAAACCAGTCACAGTCATTATTTGCCTGCCTCCAAGCAAGACTGCCCAGTATCAGTGCCCTGTTCTGTTCATAGATGCTAGGGTTGGAAGGGACCTCAACAGATCATCAAGTCTGACCCCCTGCCTAGGCAGGAAATAGTGCTCCAAACTGGTATAATCTGCAAGCTTTATCCTAATCATGGATAAAAAAGCAGCAAACAGCCCCAAAACTGACCTTTGCAACACCCCAGTAGAAACACAATTGCTTAGTGGTGCTTCCCTGTTCAAAATGCACGTTGAATCCTGTCATATAACCAAGTTTTAAAACATGTATTATGCGTCATTTTCATGTTGAATCATTCTAATGTTTGAAACAAGCTATCACAGGGTATTAGGTCAATTGCTCTATAGAACTCAATTATGTCAGTACCCTATCCTTTATTAGCCAAACTTGCAGATGTACAAAAAAAAGATATCCAGTTAGTTTGCCAAAGACCTATTTTCAAAAAATCTATGTTGACTGGCATTTATGACCCTCCTCTAATTCTTTATTAATTAAGTCCCATATCAGCAATTCCATTATTTTGTCTGGGATCAATGTCAGGTTGACAGACTCATCACTACATCATCCCATTAGTCTTTTCAGGTATTGGCATAGCACTAATTTTCTTCTAGGCCTTTGGAACTACCTCGGTGTTCTAAGATTTATTGAAAGTCAATATTAACAGCCCAGAGGGAGCTTCTAGGCCAGTTCTTTTAAAACTCTTGAAGGTGGTTATTTGCTCCTGCTTATTTAAAAATGTCTAACTTTTGGGTCAGCCTGGATTAATGCTGGAATGGAAATGATTGCATCTCCTTCATCATCATCATCATTTTATTAAACAGCCTTTGCTTTTCCCCAAGCACAGAACAGAAATATTTACTGAATATTTCTGCAATATCTGCATAATTACTGACAATTTTACTAAACCTATCTAGCAATGGACCAATGCAACTGTCAGGATTTCTTTTGTTCTTGATCTATTTTTAAAAAAACCCTCCTTTTATTGTCTTTTAATTCGCTTGGTCAAGCATTTCTTCTTGTGTTCTTTTTGCCTGCTATCCATCCTAATTTCTAATCACTGCTAACATAATTCCCTGTTTGTATATAGTATATTTATTATTATTTATTTCCACTCTAAGCCAGGCTGTTTACTTTTTAACCAGAATACCCTTCTTTCTTGACTATGGGATAGTGGCTCTTTGGGCATGAAGTAAAAGGTTCTTAATTCCCAATTCATCTTTTTTCTGCTCATCTTTTTCTTTTTAATTAATCTTTTTTTCTGTTTAAATTTGTTCTTTCAGCTGATTCTTCTGGGGACAGGGCAGAAGCTGAGAGAAGACTGACTCACTGTTGCCAGAAGGGGAATGGAGAGGAAGAAGGAGGTCTGTCTTGATCAGCCAGTCTCTTTCTACTCTCCGCTCCTCTACCTGGACTGATTTGGGTCACTGAGGGCAGGCAGATTGGTCAGCTTGCTGCCTGCAGGTGCCCTGGCTGGTTGCTCTGCTCCCACAGACAGGGAAGTGGATCAAGCAGCCACTCAGAGGTTACCTCGCCCCATGTCCCCTCAAGGCAGGGCTGAAGCTTCCCCTCTCATTGCCAAGGGGCTTCATTCAGTCCAGGGCTGTTCTAAGAAGTCCATGGAAAGCAATGGAACAAGGCCTCATCCTACAAGACAGGAGGCAGGGATCAAAAGCCTGATTTGAAACTCTCTGGAGTCAGCAGAGAGATCCCCTGTGACTTCACTTGGCCTCAAATCAGGCCCTTAATGCTGGTGTTGCCATCACTGCTTCAGCTTCTTGCCACCCCTCTGCCTATTGACAGCTGTTAGGTTCAGGTAGGGACTGGTATGGGCTAGTGCCCAGCTTGAGGTATGATTTATTAGTGACAGAAACTATGCCAAGACTCAGTGCTGCCTTGGTCTGCTCATACCTCCTAACCTGCTACAGCAGCAGAAATATGGTAGTCTCTGTCCTCTTTACCCTGCAAGGCCTCATAGGCAAGAAGATCCAGGGCCCTTGGATCCCATGGGGCTGAAGCCATGTTCCCAATATGCTTCCGTGGACCTGCTGCTTCTAACCATGCAAACAGGCTCCATCAGCTCTTCCCCTGACCCTCTGTAGCAGGCCTGAGGCAGGCCATGGTAACAGCATGGAGCAGATGCTGCTCCTCTAACATCTGGCATGTGAGGGAGCCTGCCCCCACCCCTCCATGGAGATGCCCTGAGCCATGTTGGAGCACTTGAGTGAACACCAGGTGCTCTTTCTAGACAAAGTCCTTATTTATCCTGTCTGCTCTCTGGAAGGGAGAAACTTGCTGCTTTGAGTTGGTTGTCAAAGAAGCTCACTTTTCCTAGACCAGTGGTTCTTAACCTTTTTGAAGCCAAGGTATCCCTCAATAGACTCGAGAGCCTCCCCCCACCCGCCTCCCCCTGCTAAGGAAAATGCCAGTTCTTTGTTTTCAATAATTTCTTTTTTACTACAGGAATACAAAGGTGGTTCCAAAGAGAGTAAAGCTCAATTGTTCTCACTGTCTGGCTCAGGGGTTTGTGTGCTAAGCTACTGGTGGGAAGGTTATGAGTTCAAGTCTGGTTTAAAAGGAGGATCAAGGAAACTACTGCCTAGTCAACTTCACCTCAGTCCCTGGAAAAATCATGGAACAGATCCTCAAGGAATGCATTTCTAAGCACTTGGAGAAGAAAAAGGTGATTAGGAACAGTCAGAATGGGCAAAGTCATACCTGACCAATCTGATTGCTTTCTATGATGCAGATGTGGTATACCTTGATTTTTAGCAAGGCTTTTGATATGGTCTCCCACAACATTCTTGCAGGCAAGCTATGGGCTTCTTGCTCTTGCAGGAAGTATTGGCTTGATGAATGGACTGTAAGGTAGATAGAAAACTGGCTGGCGCATCAAGCTCAAAGAGTAGTAATCAATAACTTTGATGTCTAGTTGGCAGCTGGTATCAAGTGGAGTGCCCCAGGGATTGGTCCTGAGGCTGGTTGTGTTCGATATCTTCATCAATGACCTGGAAGATGGGATGGAGTGCACCCTCAGCAAGTTTGCAGATGATGCCAAGCTGGGGGGAGTAGTAGATACACTGGAGGGTAGGGCTAGGATTCAGAGTGACCTAGACAAATGGGAGGATTGGGCTGAAAGAGATCTCATGAGGTTCAACCAGGACAAGTGCAAAGTGCTGCACTTGGGACAGAACAATCCCATGCACTGGTGCAGGCTGGGGGCTGACTGGCTGGGCAGCAGCTCTGCAGAAAAGGACCTTGGGATGACAGCGGACAAGAAGATGCATATTAATCAGCAGGGTGCCCTTGTTGTCAAGAATGCTAATGGCATCCTGGGCTGCGTTGGTAGGTGTGTTGCCAGTAGATCAAGGGAAGTAATGATCATTCACTTCTGTTTGGCACTGGTGAGGCCACATCTGGAGTCCTGTGTCCAGGTTTGGGCCCCCCACTACAGAAAGGATGTGGACAAGTTGGAGAGAGTCCAGCGGAGGGCAACAAAAATGGTTTGGGGGCTGGGGCACATGACTTACGAGGAGAGGCTGAGGGAGCTGGACTTATTTAGTCTACAGAAGAGAAGACTCAGGGGGGATTTAATTGCCACCTTCAGCTACCTGAAAGGGGGTTCAGAAGAGGATGGAGCTAGACTGTTCTCAGTGGTGGCAGGTGACAGAACAAGGAGCAATGGTCTCAAGTTGCAGCAAGGGCAGTTTAGGTTAGATATTAGGAAGAATTTTCTCAGTAGGAGGGTAGTAAAGCACTAACAGGTTACCCAGAGAGCGGGTGGAAGCTCCATCCTTGGAGGTTTTCAGGACCCGGCTAGTCAAAGCTCTGGCTGGGGTGATCTGGTTGGGGATGATGGTCCTGCTTTGAGCAGGGCGTTGGACTAGATGCCCTCCTGAGGGCCCTTCCAACCCTAACAGGCTCTGATTCAAAGTGGCAGCCAGTTGGGGGGGGGCTCTCACCCTCGAAGCAGAGAAAAGTGTGGAGGATGGCAGAGAAGGCCGTCTAGTCTCCTGCCGAAAGACCTGCAACTCTTGGCAGGGGAGATACCATGAGCTGGCTTTTGGCCCCGGGTGGTTTTAGTGACCCGGGAGGGGAGATCCCCTTCTTCTCGCCCTTGAATGGCTTGGTGCAGCCGAGGGTGGAGTCCCGTCCCTGCCTGGCGCGGGAGTCCACTAGAGCCTGGCAACGGGAGGGTGTCGGCTACACGCTTGAGGGCGGTGGGGACTGCTCTCGGCTCTCCCCCCAGCTCGCTCCTCCTG